TAGCAGGTGAGACTTCAGGGCAAGGCCTTGAGCTGGGCCTTTCGCTTGGAGCTGGCAGCCTTACATGAAATGCAGCCAGAAGCAGAACTCAGTGAGCATCTTAGAGGAGTCACCTGGGAAATACATAAGAGGAGCTCTGGTAAGTGTCTTTTGGCTGTGCTCTGAGGTGGTTGGGCTAGGTATCCACATGCGGGTGCACTTCCTTCACTAGTGTGGATTGGAGGGTCTGTTTGAAGATGGTGCTTTTGTTGTCATTTCTTGCAGCTAGGATTTCAGGGGCAGATGAGGTCGGATGCAAGGCTTTGAGTCAGGACCCTCTGCTTGGAGCTGGCACCCAGAAAAAAAGAATGAGCAATCTCAGGAAAGGCCAAATGAGGCTCGGTAAGTGGGATGGGGGAGGGGAGGGAGAGCAGGAAAGCTTGCTGAGGTGGTTGGGCTAAGTATCCAAATGTCCATGTGCTTTGATCACTGGTGTTGGTTGCAGGGTCTGCTGGAAGAGGGTGCACTTCATTGGTTTTTTGATGATGGGACCTGAGGGCAAGGCTTTGAGCCGGGCCCCTATGCTTGGAGCTCGCAGCCAGAGAGAACTGAGTGAGCAGCTTACATGGGAGTCTCCTGGAAAAATTCTGATGGAGCTGTGGTAAGTGTGGCTTTTTGGGGGGGGGGGTTATGTCATGAGATGGCTGAGCTAAGTGTCCCCATGTCTGTCCACTTTCTTCACCTGATACTGGTTGGAGGGTCTGATGGAAGAGGGTGCACTGGATTGGTTTCTTGCAGGCATGAGTTCAGGGCAGATTGGATTGGAGGAAAGGCCTTGAGATGGGCCTTTACATGGAGCTGGCAGCCTTACACGAAAAGCAGCCAGAAGCAGAACTCAGTGAGCAACTTAGAGGAGTCGCCTGGGAAATATCTAAGAGGTGCGCAGGTAAGTGTGGCTTTTGGCTGTGCTGTGAGGTGTTTGGGCTAGTTATCCAAATGTCCGTGCACTTCCTTCACCGGTGTGGATTGCAGGGCCTGATGTGAGAGGGTATATTGGGAGTGTTTTGTTCCAGATAGGTCCCTGGAGACTGGATTGGAGGCAGGCTTTGAACCTGCCCCTCTGCTTGGAACTGGCAGCCAGAGAGAATTGAGTGAGCAGCTTACAGGGGAGTCTCTTGGGGGGAAATCTGATGGCCTTGTGGTGAGTGTTTCTTTTTGGGGGGTGTTTGCTAAGTATCCAAATGTCTGTTCACTTCATTCACCTGATGTTTGTTGTACAGTCTATTGGAAGAGGGTGCATTGGGAATGCCTTGTTGTAGGTGACCCTTTGGATTCTGTCTGGAATGGAGGCAAGGCTTTGAGATGGGTCTCTCGCTTGGAGCTATCAGGCTTAAACGAAAAGCAGCTAGAAGTGGAGCTCTGAGTAACTTAGAGGAGTCGTCTGGTAAATATCTAAGAGGTGCTCAGGTAAGTGTGGCTTTTGGCTGTGCTGTGAGGTGGTTGGGCTACGTATCCAAATGTCCCTGCACTTCTTTCATTGGTGTTGGTTGGCAGGTCTATTTGAAGATGGTACATCAGTGGTAATTTCTTGCAGCTAGGAGTTCAGGGACAGATGAGATTGACTGCAAGGCTGTGAGCCGGGCCTCTCTGCTTCGAGCTGGCACCCAGAGAGAATGGAGTGAGCATCCAATAGAAGAGCCTGCCTGGGAGAAGTCCCAGTGATGCTTGGTAAGGGCAGCTATGGAGGGGGAGGGGCTATGCTTTGAGGAGATTGGGCTAAGTATCCAAATGTCTACTTCGTTCACTGGTGTTGGTTGCAGGGTCTGATGGAAGAGGGTGCATTGGATTGGTTTCTTACAGATGGGACCTGGGAGCAAGGCTTTGAGACAGGCCCCACTGCTTGGAGCTCGCAGCCAGAGAAAACTGAGTGAGCAGCTTACAGGGGAGTCTCCTGGAAAAAGTGTGGTGGAGCTGTGGTAAGTGTGGATTTTTGGGGGGGGGGAGGGAGGGAGCCATGCTGTGACATGGCTTGGCCAAGTATCCAAATGTCTGTCCACTTCCTTCACCTGATGTTGATTTTACGGTCTGTTTGAAGTGGGTATATTGGGAGTGCTTTTTTGCAGGTGAAATGTCTGTCTACTTTGTTCGCGGGTGTTTGAAGGGCCTGATGGAAGAGGGTGCAGTGGATTGGTTTCTTGCAGATGGGACCTCATGCTGGGATGAGGTTTACCTGTGTGGTTGACAAATACATTTGATGTCGACACCTGCACGTCCAGACTATTGCGCTGAGCCGACAAACAGCTGATCAACTGTTTGTTGGCTCAGCGCGGCAGCCATGTAAATTTAAATGAAGCAGCGATTATTTAAATCGCCGCTTCATTTTCCTATGTCTGGTAGCCTAATCTACATGCTTCTGGCGACAGAGGCACGTAGTCTAGATGTACCCTAAGGCTTTTGGGGGAGGGTATGCTGTGAGGTGGCTGGGCAAGGTCTAGAAATGTCTATTTGCTTCCTTCAATGGTGGTGTTTAAAGTCTGCTATAAGAATCTGACTGGATTGATTTCTTGTAGATGGGCAGATTGGATTGGAGCTGGCAACCAGAGAGCCCTGAGTGAGCAGCTTATAGGGGAGTCTCTTGGGAAAAGTCAGAGTGGAGCTTGGTAAGTGTGGCTTTTGGCTGTGCTTTGCTGCGAGGTGGTTGGGATAAGTATCCAAATGTCTGTGTACATTGTTCACTGGTGCTTTGTTGAAAGAGGGTACATTGGGAGTGCTTTGTTGCAGTGAGCCTCCAGAGATGGACTAGATTGGAGGCAGGTCTTTGAGTTGAGCCCCCTTGCTTGCAACTGAGAGACTGAGACCTGAGTGAGGGGTTGGTTGGGGGAAGTCACAATGGAGTTTGGCTTTTTGGAGGGCCTAAGCATCAAAATGTCCATGCACTTGTTTCACTGAGATTGGTTGTGGGGTCTGTTTAAACAGGGTGCATTGGGAGTGCTTGGTTTCAGTTTTCCATTTAGGAACTAATGGGATGGGAGGCAAGATTTTGGAGATGAGACTACCCTACTCGTACTTAGCAGTCCCATACCAATGACAGCCAAAGGGGGAACGGAGTGAGCAGTCCACAGGGGGGGAGTTCTGGGAAAAAGTTCCCTTATAGGTTACACCTCCTAGCTATTTCATTTGGTGACCCCTAGTTCTTATGCTATGGGAATGAGTAAATAACTTTTCCATATTGACTTTTTTCCTACCCCAGTCTCCCTTTGTCTCAGCTTTTTCTAAGCTGAAGAGTCAGTCTTTAATCTCTCTTCATACGGGGAAGCATTCCGGTGCCAGTTGGTCTTTAGAGAATAGGCAACTATGTCTGTAGGCCGTATACAAGAATTGGGCGTACCAGAGCTTTCTCTACAGGCAATAAGAGATTGTCATCTTCTCTATTCCTTTGTAAAAGGATTCCTAGCATTTGGTGTGTGGTGTGGGTTTTTTCCTGCTGCAGCCCATGGAGTGGAAGTTTTTCCAAGAACTCTGGGGAGCAGTTCTAGCCAAATGAGTCTCCATATTTTTGTACGTATTGTCGGGATTATTTTTTCTAGTGTGCCTTACTTTACCTTTATCAAGATGAATTTTGATTTGCCCTTCTTTTGTTGCCTGGTCCCTCAGCTTTTTTTTTTTTTTTTGGAAGCTTTCGGCAGTCTGCTTTGTTCTTAACTACCCTGAGCAGTTTGGCATCAGCTGCAATTTTGCCCCCTTGCTGTTAATCTCTTTCTCCAGGTCCTTTGTTCCTAGGTTGAATAGGATTGGTCCCAGTACGGACCCTTGGGGGACATGGCTAGTGCATGTCTCATTCTGAAAAGTGAGTTTATTCTTCCCCTTTGTTTCCTGTCTTGTAAGCAGCTCTCAGTCCATGAGAGGACCTTTCCTCTTATCCCATGACCACTGACTTGGCCTTAAGAGCCCAAAACCGAATGGCCCTAGACTACGTCCTAGCAAATAAGGGTGGGCTTTGTGCCTTAGTGGGAAAAGAATGCTGTGTGTATATCACTGACACCAGCAAGGAAGTAGAGGAAGATGCCTCAGAGATTGAAAGAATTATGGGAAAAGCCTAAGACAGGAGGAAAAGTGGACCCTCTGGGGTTGGTTGGGAGGCTGGTTTGGACATGTGGGAACTTGGATTTTGCAAGGAGTAGTTTTAGTATTGGCTATATACTTTTGTGCTTATTGCTGTTTCTTGTTAATCAATTGCTGTATTTCTTGTATTCTTGAAAACACAAGACAGACCCTTACCAAAGGGAATGTAGAACTCATGATGTTAAGATATGAGCAAGAAAGGAACAAGAAATGTATATAAAGGCTTTGATGAAAATAGAGGCATGAAATGGCTTCAAAGTTAGCCTTTAAAAGGCTAAAAGGGGGGAGTTGTAGAAACCATTTCATATTTAGCTAGAAGCCATTCTGTATAACAAAAGCCATTTCAGTTTCTTGTGTCTGCACGTATACTAGAGGGAGTGAACTGGCCTTCACCGAGGTGGGGAGAGGCCAGAAGGATGCACTGTTGGAATGTGTTAATGAACTATTTTGAGCTGAAGCTCGAACTCTGTCTAAACCTGTTTCTTTCTCTGCTGATAATAATTCCTCTTTGAAGTTCGCTTTGATTTCTTGCCCTGATGTCAGACTTGTTTGGTTACGGGTATAAAATACTAGGATTGATTGTATTAGCCAGCCTCACTGGGCCCGGCTCTGCTGGGACCATGTTTGGCTCACTTTGCTTTTATTGGCCAATAAAAGTGTCTGTTTAGCCACGTAAACTGAGTGAGGCTTTTGCTTCGACAGTGATAATCCACCATATGCAGCTATTACATGAATGCCAGAAGTAATTTGAATTGTTGGTTTCCCTGGTACACAATAGGGCAAACACCACTGACTCTTGTTCAGATTTGCAACTCAAATTACTGCATGATCAGCTGCCTTGTGTTCATAACACTTATCACAAGACTAGAGAGCGGCGATGAAAGCATGACTCAGGTGGAGACGGCAGTGCACAGTTTATAGGGGCTGTTGAAAAACAGTGTGAAATGCAGGCATACATCCATGAAAAGCTGTGCCAAAAAATTGCATCATGGGACAGGAAGCCCACAACCTTGATGCACTCTGATCCATTCCTACCATTTCTAACAGCAGGTGGCAGCAAGTTGTACAGCTACCCATTGTGCACTGCTCTCTGTTACAGAACCAATTGTGGATGCATTCCACTGACACAGGGAGGATTATGGGAACATATGCAAACAATGTTATTGCAGTTTATGATGATCAGTGATTCTTGTATAGACTTCACTCTATACTACAGTCATAGCCCTAGACAACCTAATTCTGGTCACCAGCAACTCATTTTTCTGACACAACTAGAACAGAACTCCCCAAAGGGCTGTCCTTTTCTCTTTAACTTTATAGTCTGTTAAAATAACTTTTATTTTACAATATCCTAATCAAAGGTGCTGACACTAACATCAACACCCAAATTCAGCTTAGTGAAAAAATGTTACTATCAAAAACTTTTATCCATCTGATCTTTTGTATTGCATCAGTTTTCCCATGCTACCTAGGCAGTGATTTGTACTAAACTCATTTGGCTACGTCTACACTGCAGGCTTCTTGCGCAAGAGTTCTTGTGGAAAAGGTCTTCCACAAAAGTGCGTCCACACTGCTATGTGCTTTTGCGCAAGAGCGTCCATGGCAGTGCGGACGCTGTCTTGCACAAGAAGGCTCTGATGGCCATTTTAGCCACAGGGGTTTCTTGCACAACAAATTCATATCGCCTGTCTACACTGCCTTCTTGTAGAAGAGCTCTTGCGCAAGAGGGCTTATTCCTCATGGGGAGAGGAATAACTCTTCTGGAAGAAGTCCTGTTTTCCAATGCTGTACTGTAAATTAACTTGCGCTAGAACGTGTCTGCAGTGTAGACACCCGACAAGTTTTTGTGCAAGAAAAGCTCACGCAAAAAGCCTGCAGTGTAGATGTAGCCTTTGAGTTTATCTGCCAGAAAAGATTCACTTTTTCAGGAAGAAAACTATGAAATGTTTTATAGTCCTATTTTCAAAAATCTCTGGAAATTTTCAAAGTAGCAAAATTAAAAAGATCCATCAAACTATAAACAATTTACAAAAATACAAATTTTGTTTTGTAGAAAAGCATTATATACAGGTGCAATATATATATAAGTATTAAGCCATCAGTCTCAGCTACAGTATTTGAAGATACATTTTCTGTGTTACGACTGGGTATTGGAGCCTTTATCCGGCTGAGGAAATTCTTCTATTGCAGCACGAAATATCAGTTCTGTAAGAGAGAGAGAACCCGTGGAAAACCACAGAAATTACTCCTGAATATTTTCTCCAAACTTCCTCTCTTCTAAATAATATCAACACCTTGATAATAGTGGAGAGACCCCTGTCCCACCAACCTGCCATTGTACTAAAAACCTTAGTATGAGGAAGAATGTTCAGTGCCAGCATACCACACACAGCAGCATCCTCCATTCAGAGTAAACACATTATCAAAAACAAAAATTGCAAAATTAACTAACCAGCCAAGTCAACATTAGAAAGTTTTTTTTTTTAATCACATTAGAATCAGAAAGAAGAATTCAGGTTAGAATATTATCAATTTTTATCAAGCTGGTAGCATATTTAGGTGAGGTAATACAAATTTCAGCATATGGCTGGATCCACCACATATGCTTCAGATGGTGTTTTTTTTAATTCAATGAAGTAGGAACTTGCTAGACTGTTTCTGAATAGTTTTGAGTTTCCTTTGGTCTGTTTGAGACAGCCCTGAGATTAACTTTTTCAGAATTTCTCTTAAAACTTAAGCCCATATCCTCTAGTCCAGGGTGGGCAATAATTTTTTGCCAGGGGCCACTTCAAAATTTTTTAAAGTGGCCCCAGGCTGCTCCGGAAGGAGCAGGACCTCAAAAGGAAAGGGGTGGAGCCAGGATGCTTCAGACTTCGCCACCCACAGACCATGATTAGTCTGGGGATGGGGGAGCCTCTTTGCCGCCTCTTCCCACTAAGCACCCATGGAACCTACATATTCGCTGGACCAGCTGAGCTATGCTCGGTACAAGTCTAGGGGAGTGGTAAAGGTGGCATTAAACCACCTTTTGATTCCTCATCCTGAGGTCAATGAGCACCTGCCCTCATCCAAGGAATAGACAGCATCCAGGCTCTGTTCTCTGAGAGAAGAGAACTCTGTACTACTCTGGAGCTCTGGAAGTCCCAGTACACTCTGGGATGCAAAGCCAGCACAAGTTGAATGGAATATGTAAATCAATCATCACATAATATCTGACACACTATTACTGTGTGAGGGAGATTAATGGACTTGGATGGAGGTGCAGGGAAGGTCCAGGTAAAGATTACCTCTCCCTTTCCAGTCTATTGAAAAGAGTTTACTGCCCAAGCTATACTGTAGATACATTCAACAAATGTCATTTGTGAAATGTACTCTTTAAAACACAATGTATAGGGCATCCCCGCTGTAAGTCACCCTGGTATACATCCATTCCGCACTAAAATCGTTGATGGTTGTAGGAATTGATGTTAAGTCCTCCCATTCCCCATTCTTAAGTCGCGCAAAAAAACCCACCCCAATTTGCACAAATGGAAGTCAGCCCCGGGAAGAAAATTCCCTGGTTTAAGTCCAAGTGTTTTGGAACATATCTTGGACTTATAGCGAGGACGGACTGTAGTTTTCTAAAAGAGAGCATAATTTCAAATGGTTTGAACTCTGTTAAATCAAAATCATGTCATTGTCTCCCCTCCCCCCCAACCAGTAGTACCATGTTTTAAAATTCTTCTTATTTTGCATTACTCAGGACAAATTTCTGGGGGGGGGGGGGGAGTGGCATCCTACTTCATTAAAAATGACTCCTGTTACTTCAAACTTAAAAAAAATAAGGAGAGCGCAACCAAGGACAATTTCATTCCAAGAAGTGAATTCTTTGGAAAGTTATGGCTATTCAGAGGGAGAGAGAGAGAGAGAGAAAGGGGAAGAAAAAAAGCATTATAATAGGAATGTTATTATCCTGGGGGGGGGGGGGAGTGGCATCCTACTTCATTAAAAATGACTCCTGTTACTTCAAACTTAAAAAAAATAAGGAGAGCGCAACCAAGGACAATTTCATTCCAAGAAGTGAATTCTTTGGAAAGTTATGGCTATTCAGAGGGAGAGAGAGAGAGAGAGAAAGGGGAAGAAAAAAAGCATTATAATAGGAATGTTATTATCCTTAACTCTAGCAGTAATACACTTGTAAAACCCTGTTCTGAACAGTGAACAAAGTAGATCTGGGAGAACCTAGACCAAAGGAATACAACAGTCCCCAACTTTCTTCTAGGTTTAATGTTCCATACCTTCACTGTGATCTAGCTCTGGTCGGTAAGATAAGAAAAGCCAGGATAGCCCAACTAGAAGAGCCACCACCAGATTCACCACAATCCATGGCTGAAGAATCTGTTCCTCTGCACCTGCAGTCCTGAGCAAAGCATGAGATACTTATTAGGGGGGGCAGATACTGAGGCCTACCTCTGGTATGTATACATTATTATGTTAACAACTTCTACTGTGTAGCACTCTAGCAGCTAGATCAGTGAGGGGCAACCTAAGCTAGCTCGTGGGCCATATGAGTGGCCTTCCTTCATCTCAGTGGTCCTCAACATTGTCATAACCAAGACGATCTACCAGAGTAGAGTAGCTCTGCTAACTCTGCACTTGCGTACCTAGAATTTGCGGGGGGGTGTCGACTGAATCATAGCAGCACTTTGATTGGATGCAGAGGGAATGCATCGCTCTCACAATGTTGTGTGCAATCAACACGTGCCTCACTTCACATGCCCTTGCTTTAGGTGCAAGTCACTTTAATAATACAGATAGGAAAAAAATTACCCAGACAAAAATCAGAGGAATCTGGCAACCCTGCACAAGGGCAATGGTAAACAAAATGTCTGGTGGGTCACATATGGAAGCTGTATGGGCTGCATATGGAACCGCAGGTTCCCCACCACTGAGCTACATGCTTTAAAACATCAAACACCGAACAAATGTTTCTCACATGTTCTAAAGATTTTGGGGTCTGAAGGGCTGCAGAAGAGAGAGACTATCAAAGGCTCTGACCCAGCTGAGAAGCCCCACTACCTAGCATGGAGCAAGCCTTCAAATTAGATTTCAACACTGACACCCTTCCCTGGCTAGGAGACAGAAAACAAAAAGTAAGATTAAACAGTCGATTGCCATTCTGGCTAACAACAGGGGGGCCTCAAGGTTCCATATCAGATCTGATGTTTAAATTATTTATTAATGGTTGGAAAGGATAATGAGTAGTGAGGTAGCAAAATTTGCAGAGGAGACCATTTCAATACGATTGTGACAGAGGGGATGTGTCTATAGCAAATTACAAATTCTATTTCCTTTGCATTTGCGTTGAACACTTGTCTGAACTTGCCTAAGGGCTGCACTCCAGACAGATGTCCTGTCTATGAAAGGAGTATGACACCTTGCTGACAACTGTCTCTGAAAGTCTTGAAGATTGCAGTCCGGGCCATCAGATTTGATTCTGTCTCAACTACTGGCAAGGAGCAACGGTCTTTCTACACATGGGACCATAGTTTTGCAGTATCTTTTTCATCAGTGGGTTTTTTTTTAAATGTTAATAATGAATCCCTGTGTTATGGTATAATTAAAACAGATTTTTATACATTCTCTCATATATATCTACATAAATAGTTTGCATATTTGGTACCATTGTGTTTGCAAGGGAAAGGCATTATTTGAAAGCCCTAACTCGACCCATTTTGGGTGATCAATGTATTAGTATTTTTACCAACTGAGAGCTAGGAGCCAGGTATGCAGTATATCTTTCCTGTCATGGTGCAGAAGGTGGCACCGGTGTTCCCTGTAAGCTTATGCAGCCACTCAGGAGAGATTCAGATGCCACCCAGCTAATTAGCAGAGAGCCCGCAGCTAGGTTTTGCTTCTACTAGTGGTGGACATTCACACATGCCTCGGTGCACACAATTACTCTGAATATGGATGGAAAAGTTTAGAGGGAGCACCAGGTGCCACCACTGAAATTATGATTCTGTAGTTTTTTACAAATCAAATGGCACCTCCTCCCTTTACTTGCTATCACTAACTTGTAGAATGAGTTTTTAGTACATTTAGCTGATAGAGTTCACGAAAAAGAAAGAGGCAAGAAAAAGCCAAGCAGTAGCCTGTGAGCACAATGTGACCCTAGACCCAGCTTGAGTGACAGCTTTGGATCTGTTGGCTAAAGAGGCTGGAAGCTAAGAAACTGCTCCCATTGCTCTTGGCTCCTTCTGCATTCAGAGACACAGGACTTAGTATATAGTGCATCACAAACAATACCAGACTCAATTAATGTTTACTTCCAACTGGAACTACCCCAGTGCCCTGAAACTGGATTAGCTTCTTGGGTGAAAGGGGGGTAACAATATTCATTTGGTTTGGGTTTTGTTGTCAGAGGCTGAGTTTTGATCTCTGTAGGCCAAACAAAAACAATTCTTTAAAAATTTATTAAACTTGTTAATGAGGAGAAAAACAGTCAAAATGTTTAAAATGAAAAAGTGAATTTTCATGTCAACAATTTCCCATAACCCCTCACCCCCCCAAAAAAGCACCTTTAAGTCATCTAGGGCTCAATTTAAAGTCTCAAATGCAAAAATATTAGGACAGGTTTAGTACTGTGAATCTTATATAATACTTTTAGATGTATTACATTATTAAGCCACCATTAATTAAACGTTCTTACATAGATGCTGCAAGAAAATTTTAAGGACTTAAGAGAAAAAAACTGCAATCTAGATTTCCTACCAAAGGCTCCCATTCTCCGAAGGTGGTGTGTAAAGGTTGATTCTATCACTTGTCATCTGCTGGCTCAGGGACAAGATGAGAGCAGCAAAGTATACTGGGAGAAAGGGAAAGGAATTTGCAGCTTTCACTAATTGACACGAAACACTGGTCACAAAATATTGATTTTTACCATGCTCTCTCTCCCCTTCCTTCCCATTGTCTCCAAAGTCATAGAACATGCTGCTCACTTCCCTTGCCCAATCTTCTTTTTTCAAGCACTTTCCTTAACTCCTCAAATCTAACATCCAACCAAGGCCACTAACAATATACTAAGTCAAAGGGGTATGTCGTTATTCTTGTTCTACTTGGTACATGTGCTGTAATCAAAATAGGAGAAAATAACATTACAAGGGGAAACAAAGAGAAAAAGGGGCGTGAAGCACTAAAAATCCCACCAATCACTCATTTCAAACTTGTACATGAAACTAGTTAGTGATGTTTATCTAAAACATTGAAGTGACAATATTTAATATAGCAATGTAATTTTGTTTTAAAGTAGAGAACAATTAGGGATGAAATTTCTTTTAACAGTATTGGAGACTGAGACAGCTTGAAGCTGTTGGACAGCTAGAAGCTATTTAATCTCAGCACTAAACACATATGCCAAGATGCATTTAGGCTGTAATTTTCTGCTACTGATTGTTATGATCTGCTTTATACTCACGGAAAGAAGCTATGGCTGCTGGGTCCAGGGTGAAGAAGCCTTGCACAGCTACTGATGCTTTAGCCAAATCAATCCTGGACAAATAAATGAACAAATACAAGAAGTGAAGGTTGGCTACTTATCATCCAAATTGTTCAAGATGGCTCTGCTTATGGGTATTGTGCCGCCCATGGGGCCTTATGATAGAACCTTCTTCCAGCAATGTAACCTAGAGCATTTTCATAACCGGCCTCCCGCCCCCAGTGTCTATCCTACAGGTCCGGTCCAAGGCATATTTACTGACAATCTAGGTTGCAGCTCTGCAAATTTCAGCAACTGGCATAAGACAAGCGAAGGAAGAAGCCACAGTGGTAGAATCAAACTAGGTACGGGAACTTTTGCTAGTGTGTAACGTTCAGCAATACAAGATTAAGCCATCGAGATATAGTCTGAGAAGAGCCCATTTAACCCTTTCAATTTTTAGCATAAGACACAAACAGTCTTGACAAGTTACAAAACCACTTAGTTCTAGCTGTATAATAAAGGCTATGTCTAGACTCCCAACGTTTTTGCAGAAAAAAATATGCCAAATGTGCTTTGCATTTTACGTATCTTTTTCCGCCTTTTTTTTTTTTTTTTCCAGAAGAGGCTTTTATGAAATTTGGACCATCTACACTGGCCCAAATTTCGGAAAAAAACCCTCTTTCAGAAGATCCTTCTTCCTCATGGAATGAGGAGGAATAGGGGCTTCTGAAAGAGCGTGTCTGCTCTTCTGCAAAAAAATAGTGGAAGAGCAACGTGTTCCCTGGGCGTGGCAGAGGTTTTTTCAGCATACCTCCAGTATCCTGAAACCCCCCTGCTGTCTAGACATACCCAAACAAGGATCCTTCTGCTGTTCAATGTGTGTAGAACAGATTACTCCTTATCAGAACAAGGCCTGGGGTGGGGGAGAACAGCAAATTAATTATCTGCTTGATGTGAAAATCAGATACCACCATAGGTAAAAGCTTGAGATCCAGTCAGAGAACTACACAGATAAACCTTTTCACTGAACACAGAGCAAAACAACAATTTTTCATCAACTAAAATTATGATACGCTGAGAGCTGCCAAATGAACTTTTAACTGAGTTAAATAACACTTCAGGCTTGAAGTGTATTATTAGTCCAGAATACAGTCAGTCCCCGGGTTACGTACAAGATAGGGACTGTAGGTTTGTTCTTAAGTTGAATCTGTATGTAAGTCGGAACTGGCGTCCAGATTCAGCCGCTGCTGAAACTGATCAGTTTCAACAGTGGCTGAATCTGGACGCCAGTTCTGACTTACATACAGATTCAACTTAAGAACCCCAGGCATCCCCAAGTCAGCTGCTGCTGAAACTGATCAGCGGCTGATTCCAGGAAGCCCGGGGCAGGGGCTTCCTGTAGTCAGCCACTGGTCATTTTCAGCAGCTGCTGACTTGGGGACACCTGGGGCAGAGCAGATGGGGGGGTGCTGGGTTGGTCCAGTGGCACCCAGAGCGGCGCTACGGGACCAACCGGCA